TGTTTAAAGCTGATGCTACATGGAGAAAATAAACAAGAATCAAGATCTTTATTTGCATTTTAAAGGACTTAAGCTCTTTTAAGACTATTTCTCAATACAGGAACTCAATACTATTACTCAATTCAAGAACAGTAGCTAGATCATGCTGACAGTACAAAGTCATCCCATCAAGTTTACTTGTCCTCGTTCGTGAATATATGGAATAATATAAAAAGTTACTATGGCTGGATTCATAGACCATGTGAAGTCATCATGTGGTTTGCTTCTTTAGGGTTTAATGTAATGGATGAACTGATCCTTGAAGTTTGCAGCTCATTGTTTATGGATAAGCATGATGTCTGAAGCCATCCAAACATAATTTATTAAAAAATTATAATTAACATTTGTGGTTTAGTGCAATGAACCAGGCAGTATTATGGCTACAATTAAATCCATGTCTGGTATCCTGGCTTTTAAAGCAATAGCACATTTTACCCCCTCTCATCTTTTGTGGACAAGATGAAGGTCTGTCTCCAAAAAGTGAGGGAGAACCAGACCATAGTCATGCCTCCTGTGTATTATCTGTTATTTCTTGATATCCTATTACAACCTAAAGATAAAATCTTCTGTACATTAGCTCATATCACTTTCAGTGATCTGGAGGTCCCTCATATTTCTCCTTATAGAAAGATAGAATGAAATTACAGATAAATATTTGTATAACAAAAAGTATTATTATAACTTAAAGGATACTGTTTGCATTTCAGAACCCAAAGTTGTTCTTTAAGCATTCAACTGAGCACATGTGGATTTGCAAATAAGTAGACAACATAGCTGTTTCTGAACTCTCCCCGTTCCGTGTATTCAGATGGGAGAAATGGCACTTGAATGGAAATGAACGTGAGAGCTGGTGCTCACACTAATAAAAAAAAGCTAGCAATCATCCCCAAATCAAAAACAAGAGTGCCCCACCTTCAATTCCATTGGAAAGAACACAAGGGGGAAAAAAATCACAATTTCCCCATGCTGGCTGGGGAATTCTGGGAATTGAAATGCATACAATTTAGAGTTGCCATGGTTGAGAAACCTGATACAGAGGCTCCTTACTTGAAAGTAATATGTTTGCTGGAATTCTTCTTTTGTTACCTTAATCTACTTCCTAATTTATTAGTTAATAATTCTTTGGGATTAACTGTTTTCAGTCTAAATTATTACAGGAGAAATCTGACAGTAAAGATAAGGTCTTCTTCAAACTGAGCACTTGATAATACAGATATGGTATTTATGCCACAATATGAAAGTATTATAGTTTGCTATTATCTGGTATATTTTTTTTAAAAAAATCCCATTCTAGCCTACATCTCTAGTATTCCCTCTTGATCTTTCATTCAAACCCTAATTAGATCTGATTTGATTTAGTTTAGCTTTATGAGTTTGGTCAGCCATTCCCATCCCAACTATCTTCCTCTGCAGACAATTCTCATAGCTGTTGATGCTGATTCAGAGTTAAAGCCCCAAACTAGGCAAGGGACAGAGAACTGAGTGGAGAATTGAATTTGCACTCCAAATGAACATATGGAGGATGAATAAAGTATAGGGCAGTCCCAGAATGCATAGATCTTCATCACTCTCCCTTCTCAAAGCCTCGGGCGAGCCCAGCCACAAGACGGCAATGTGGGCAATGAACAAGCTTTCCTACTTACCTGTATGGAAGAAGCAGGGTGCACTGCCAACACTGAAATGTCTGTTTGGTCGTTTGCCTCTTCCAAAGTCTCAATGCAGATCTCAGAGGTGACATATAGTTAACTTTTAGTGAAACTGGATGTGTTTCTTCCCCCAGCTAATATACCCAGAATAATAATGGAAGCCTCATTTTTCAGAGCTATCTCCATAGCATAGAAACTCTATATCTCTGTTGTCTTGAGGAAAATCTATTTAATTTAATCTCATGCCAGAATTACTCAATTTTCTTCACTGAAAAGTTTCACCTTCCTCTAAAACAAACGCAATTTGAGAAATAATTAAACACAAATACATACCACTTAGTGGCTTCACATTAATGTAGCCATTTGGAGTTGGATACGAAGGTGGTTTTGTTGGTGGAGCTGCTCTGCTGCTGCTGCTGCTGCTGCTGCTGCTGCTGCTTCTCTGGGTGGTGGTTTGATTTGGGGGGGATAGTGGAGGAATAGCTGCCGTGTGAGAGGTCTCTTGGGAATGGAAAGTTGTTTTGCTTGATACAGTTGGCTGTTTGTCTGTAACTGTTATGGGTTTTTTGCTGACCAATGCTGGATTTGTAGCCAGCATGTGCTTAGGTGGTGTTGAAAGCCATTTGGAAGTTGTTCTAGTTATACGGGACAGGACAGAGGTGAAGTCAGTTCTGGGTGTGGATGTATCTGCACCAACAGTGAACTTTGTGACAACAGTGGGTGAGTGAAAAATAGTTACATGTCCAACTGTAACTGGGCTAGGAAATGTTGTGTCATTGCTTGTGGTGTTGCTATCAGAAGCTATTGTTGTTTCAGCAGAAAGGATCCCATTGCTACTTGTTGCATTATAAGGGAAAAGAGTGTCTTTTATGGTATCATTTGAAGTTACTGAAACATTGTAAGAAATAGCTCTGGTTTTGGAGGTAACAGCAGTGGTGGAATCTAAGGGATTGGTAGTAACAACTGGGGGACTGACTGTGCTATTAGAATCTGTTAAAAGTTTTTTCCAGATGGTTGTGTTGAAATATCTTGCAGTGCTGCGGAATAATGTTCCATCTGGAATGGCTGTGACTTTTAAGGAAGTGGTGGGGACAACAGTGGTGGAGTCTGTTGATACTGAAGGAAGGACGGTTCTGCTGGCTGTGCTGCTATTGAAATTGGTGGCAAGTGTTCTATTTACAACAAACCTGGCAGTGCTAGAGATGATAGGGAGTGGTGTGCCACCAGTTTCATTTAAAGTAGCAGCAGTATTCAAAGAGTGAACTACTGTTATAAGTTCATTAGAAGTTGTTGTGTTGATCCCTCTTGCAATGAAAGGGGCTGGGATTCCACTTATAGGAAAGTCTGTTGTGTTGTTTGTGGCATTGTTGGAATCTATTGTAATTTCAGTGGAGACAGACATATTTCTTGCAGCTATATGGACAGTTGTCCCAGCCATTGTATTATCTGAATCAGTTCTAACACTGGAAGACATATTGGTGGGGAAAGCATCTTTAGGCACTCTATCAGAAACAGTTGTTTGGGTATTGTTAATGGAGGGAGAGATTTCATTAGTCATAACAGTGATCTTGAAGACAGGAGTTGAATAGGACTCAGTAGCATCTCTAGAAGTGAATGGGTTCAAATTCGAGGAGGCAGAACTTGTCCTGGGGGTGGTAACACTGATGTTGCCTGAACTAGATAAGGTTGGTCCCATGATGGGGGTAATAGGGGAGGGGGCAGTTAAGCCATCATCAGACTCTGTACTAACAGACATACTTGACAGGGTGCTGCCCATAGAAGTAGAGAAAGGAGCTTCCCTGACTCCAACCAGGCCAATTCCAAGGGAATCCAGTTCAGACTGAAAGTTGTTCCTGATCCACATGGCAACAGAAGGATAGTTTTCAACTTCTTTCAAATCAGGCAAATTAACACCAAGCAGATCTTTCACATCCCGGATGCTGAGTTTCTGCAATATAGTTGCAATATCTTTGCTGATTCAGGCAGTGTTATCACAAACAGCTTTTCTGTTAACAATTATTTCTCCCCCCAAATATTCTACATTCCTTTTATCCAGAACGCATTATAAATAAAGCTCTCATTTATATAATGCACTTGTGAAATTTAAAACACTTTTAACAGTTTCTCCTGTTCCACCTTGGAGGCTGATAATCTTCTGAAGCCACATGATAAAATAAATTGTACCCAGGAGCAAATTAGGGAAATATCCCTACAATAGATTCACATAAATGTCCATACCCAGGAGCCTTTCAGAGACACTGGATATGTTTTTATATGACACTTGCAATAGTTTAGTCCAGGGGTAGGAAACCCAAAACAATCAAAGAGCCAGTTGGACCCGTTTTCAACTGAAAATAAAACACTGAGAGCCGCAAAACCCTTTTGATATCTAAAATGAAGATAACACTGCATATATCCTTTTTTACCATTATATATATGGTATAACACAGCTGCCTAACGTGCAAGCAGCCCAGGTTCAAATCTCAGAAGTGTATGTCTGGCTGATGAGAGCTAACCACCTCGAAATAGCTATCCCAGTTGCCCTTAATTTTTTGTTAGCAACCCCCCCCCAAAAAATTAAGAAAATACACACACACACACACACACACACACACACACACACACACACATCTCATAACAGTAAAAAAGGGTATATGCAGTGTTATCTCCATTTTAGATGTCAAAAGGGTCTCTCTCTCTCTCCCTCCCTCTCTCTCTTTCTGCCCTTGGTCTGCCAGTCCTCTTCCCCCACTCTCTTTCTTTCTCTCTCTTTTTCCTCTCTCTCTCTTTCTCTCTTTCCTCTCCCTCTCTCTTTCTTTCTCTCTTTCTCACCCTCTCTTTCTTTTTCTCTTTCTCTTTCTCGCTCTCTCTCTTTATTTCTCTTTTTCTCTCCCTCTCTCTCTCTCTTTCTCTCCCCTCCCTCCCTCTCTCCGATCTTCTGCTCACCTGGCAAGCTGGCTTCAAGCTGTTCTCCAACAAGCTCAGGGGTAGGCAATCTCAGCTCTTTTATGACTCATGGACTTCAACTCCCAGAATTCCTGAGCCCGCATAGCTGGGCTAGCTAGCTCTCTCCTGTCCTTCCTGCTTCCTGTTTCCTGTAGAGATGCAGCCAAGGCAGGAGCTTCACCCAGTAAGCTTTTCACCTTGTCGGAAAACTCCGTGTGAGAGAGAGAGAGGGAGAGAGAGAGAAAGAAGCTCTGTCTCTGTCTCTCTCTGCAAATGGCAGAGGAGGCTGGGAGCCGCAGGTTGCCAACCTGTAGTTTAGTCTGTTCATGAAAACATAAGCAAGGCCCTCAGGATGACATTGCCCAGGATGAGAACACCATAAAATTTTATTATATTTTATTATATTTCAGACAGGTCTTTTGGGGGGAGGGGCTGGAGAAGCCCATTGCTAATCTTGACATAATCCCACCTTGCCTTAAGCAATATATGACACAATGTCAGAACTAACCTTTAGTTCTTCCCGATTTAAATTAATAAATGTATCAATATCCATACCAACATGATATCTAGCCAACTTTTTCAGCTCTTCAACAGAAGCTCCCCCTTAAAAAGAAAAGAAAAAAGAATTAAGATTTCTGTGGGAAAGGTAACATCATATCCTTCTGGATAATCCTCCTTGAAACCAAGCAGATTTAAGTAAAAGGTGGTTAAAGTTGGGGTGGAAGGTGATGTGTCCAGATGGGTTACTATCTCCATCATGTAAACAAGAACTTTCTACACCCCTCTTCCAAAACTTGGAAGAGTATACATTCAATAATTTTTAATATAATTAACAATGAAATGTGAATAAATCTATGCACGTTAATCCATTATTCCCATTGTATTTTCTCCTAGTCTACTGAATTTCATATGCCCATATTCTCAAAGTTTGATTTTATCATTGTCATTATCCATTTTAGTACTTTTGAAATGTTTCTAGAAATAGCATTGCATGAAAAACAATGGAAGCCCAATGACAAAAGTTGTTAGAGATTAAACAATGGGTTTTTGTAGGAAAATAGGACCCAAATGACATTTTGGAAAGTGAATCATATATTATGAATAATACAGATATGCTAATGGAGGTAAAATGACTGTGTAGATTTGCCCCCATGTCTGGATTGTTAAAAATAAATAGGTGAGCTAATTCTGGAGGAAACAGCAAGAATGGAAGCACTTAATAACGTACCTAGATATGGCTGGATAAGAGGATAATAGGCACTTGTTCCTTCTTGGCTGGCAAATGCAGTGTGGGCCTTTTGGTACAGGATATCTTTCTTCACTTGGGCACAAGTAGAAATATCTAACTTTTCAGCATGCCTAAAGAATGTAACATGTAAGAGATCAGAGTTAAGTCCAGGAACATTTCTGAAACATCTAACACAGTGGTGGCAAACCTATGGCACGCATGCCAGAGGCGGCACTTGGAGCCCTCTCTGTGGGCATGCGTGCCATTGCCCCAGCCCCGCCTCCCCCTGTGGCTCCCTCCTTACCAGCAGCCTCCCAGGAGGAGAATTGCCCCCAGATGCGACCCACATGAAGCAGAGCAGCCAAGGACATAGCTGGGCAGCAAGGACACGACTCTGCCCTCGCAAATGATGCTGTGGGGTGTGGGCGGAAAGCATGGCTGCCAAGGTGCTGCAGGGCTGCCTGGGTGATTTGCGGGCCATGGAGGCTGTACATGTCTCTGCAGGTGGGGGGGGCAGGGGTGGGGGGGGCGGAGCAGGCGGGGGGCAGTTTTGGGGCACTCGGTCTCTAAAAGGTTCGCCATCACTGATCTAGCACCTTGTTCAGATAGCTGAAAGTACAAAGCATCTCAATCAGAATAGAGCTGAAAAGGACCTTGGAGGTCTTCTACTCCAACCCCCTGCTCAAGAGACCCTATAACAGGGGTGTCAAACTTTTTTCTCGGACAGGCATCAATCGTATTCTAGAATTGACTTTTTTAAATTACTATTGATCTTTTTTCTAGGGTTAAGAATGCTAAGATTTTCCCTAGAATATTGTCAGACCATAGTCCTGTATGGTTGGAGTTATCTGTTGAAGATGGGAATAGAAGGACTTGGAGATTGAATGAAAATTTATTTAGATATGAGGGGAATTCACAGAAATGCAGAGAATATTTGAAGGAATTTTTCCTTTTGAATATGTATAAGGGTACCTCGATGTCAAAGATTATAAAGGGATGCTAGGAAAGCTTACATGAGAGGGGTTCTGATTCATATGAATAATGCGCACAGGTGTAAACAGATGCATAAACGTAAAGAGTTGAAAGAAGAGATTAAACTGAAAGAGAAGGCTCTTATTTTAAATCCATTGGACAATAGTTTAAAGTTTCCATACTATGCTTAGGGAGCAATTTAATTTGTTAATGGCTGATCAGATTGCAACTAACTAGCGATATATGAAACATAACATGTTTTGTAATGCAAATAAGCCTGGTAGGTGGTTGGCTTATCAGTTACAGAAGAAACAGAAGTCAAGGGTTATAGGGAAAATAGATTATAAAGGTAAAGAGGTATATCAACAAAACTTGATTAAAAGGAATTTTTTAGATTTTTATTCAAAGTTATATGCTAGTGAAAGCATACAAGTTTCAGATATAGAAAAGTATCTACAGGCAGCACATTTTCCTAGACTTTCAAATGATCAACGAGATGAGATGAATTGTTTAGTTACTTCTGAGGAAATCATTTGGGCAATTAAACAATTAAAGGTTGGTAAGGCTCCTGGTACAGATGGATTAACAGCAATCTATTATAAAATGTTATCTGAAGAAATGATAGAACCATTAAAAGAACTCTTTAATAGTATTTTGTTGGGAGCAGAGGTACCTCCATCTTGGAGAAGGGCTTTTATATCGTTGATCCCAAAGGAGGATCAAGCCTAAGAATTATAGACCTATATCTCTTTTGAATACAGATTACAAGATTTTTTCAAAAATATTGGGAAATAGATTAATGCATGTTTTGAAGCAATTAATTCATAGTGATCAATCTGGATTTATAACTGGGAGATATATGAAATATAATGTAAGAAATTGTTAATTTAATTGAGTACATGGATAAGAATAATCAAATTCCTGCAGCTTTGATATTTTTGGATGCTGAAAAAGCTTTTGATCAGGTATGTTGCAATTTTTATTGAGAGTTGTAGAGAAAATGAATTTTGGCGGATAAATTTTTATATGCTCTTAAGGCTATATATCAACAACAATTGGCACAAATTATAATTAATGGGGGATTAACAGAAGCATTTAAAACTGAAAAGGGTACAAGGCAGGGATGTCCATTATCCCCATTGTTATTTGTTTTAACAATGGAGATTTTATTAATTAAAATTTGTGAATCAACTACAATAAATGGAATAAAAATAAAACAGAATGATTATAGGTTGAGAGCTTTTGCAGATGATTTGGTTGTGACTTTATCTCAACTGACAGATTCGGTAAGGGATTTGGTGGAAATCATAACCCACTATGGGAAAGTTTCTGGTTTTAAGGTAAATAACAATAAGACTAAAATATTACCGAAAAATATGTCTACAAAGGAAAAGGATATGTTAGCTAAATTAACAGGTTTTGAAATAGTGAAAAAGGTTAAATATCTGGGAGTATATATTACAGTTTTTAATGTTAAATTATACAAAAATAATTATGAGACATTATGGGTAAAAGTGCAAAAGGATTTAAATGACTGGAAAAAATTACAACTATCTTTGTTGGGGAGAATCTCAGCGGTTAAAAGGAATGTTCTTCCAAAGTTTCTTTTTTTGTTTCAAATGATACCTATTTTGAAAAAAGATGCCAATTTGGATGAATGGCAGAAGGGTATTAATAAATTTATCTGGGCAGGCAAGAAACCAAGAGTTAAGTTCAAGATTATACAAGATGTACGGGAAAGAGGCAGACTTAAGGCGCCTAATTTGAAATTATATTATGATGCGGTGGCGTTAACATTGATTAGTGATTGGCTTAATTTAACAAATATAAATATACTTTCTCTTGAGGGATGGGATTTACTATATGGATGGCATGCATATTTAATTTATGATAAAAAAGTAGATCAGGTTTTTAAATCCCATATTTTAAGAAGTGCTTTATTGCGTGTCTGGAAGAAGTATTATTATAGGTTAAATTATAAAATACCAATTTGGGGGATTCCTGGACACGCGATAGAGGGGGTATCCAGGGATGTGAACTTGGATAGGATTTCTTATAAGGAATTACTTAGATTGGTAGGGAGTGATTGGCAATTAAAATCGTTAGTTGAGTTAAAGCAAGAAAATATGGTAAAATCTTGGTTTCAGTATAATCAATTGTTGGTTAGGTGGAAGTTGGATCAAAAGGTTGGTATTACTTTAATGGATGAGAATTTGGTAAAACAGATTAAAGATCAAAATCGAACACATATAAAGAGAATTTATAATGTTTTAATAGAAATGGATTTGGAAACGGAATTAGTTAAAGATTGTATGGTAAAGTGGGCTCAAAATATTCAAGAACCGATTCTATTGGATACATGGGAGGTAATTTGGGTTAGAAATGTAAAATTTACCCAGGTACAAAATTTAAGAGAAAATTTTTATAAAATTTTTTATAGATGGCATCTGGATCCTAAAAAGTTGTCTTGTATGTATCCTAATTTACAGCCCAAATGTTGGAGATGTGCTAATTTGGAAGCCACTTATTTTCATATATGGTGGACTTGTAGAAATATAAAAGCCTTTTGGATTAAGATCTGGTGGAACATTCAACAGATGTTTAAGAGAAAGATAAAGTTTACCCCACAATTATTTTTATTGGGTGTCATTACAGATTGTGATGTTAAAGAAATTAATTTGATGTTGAATTTGATAACAGCTGCATGGTTATTAGTAGAGCAATATTGGAAGAAGGATTGCTTGCCTACTATAGAAGAATGGACGATTAAAGTGTCAAATTTAGCAGAAATGGCTAAGATTTCTGCTTATTTGAAAGATCATTCACAAGAAAGATACATTTCGGTCTGGAGAAGATGGATAAATTATATTCAGAATAAATATGGGAGTAAAAAGTTTCATTTAGCCTATGAGTGAATTTTAGAGTATTATTATGAAATTATTATTATTAGTAGTATTAGTATTGTTTAACTATTTGGGGACTGTATTGTTTAATAATTAGGATATTAATTTGTTTATGTTCTCATTATTATTATGTTCACTTTTAATTTGCTTATATTTATGTTAAAGGGGAGTTAAGGTGCATTATGGATTTGGTTATTTATATAGTTGGTAATGTTAGTTAGATTATGATTATCATATTTGTAACCCTGTATTCAGCTCTGGGAAGTGGGGGAGGGAGGGGGGGTTGGGTGGGTTAATATTGTAATTTTTATAAAACTTTTTAATAAAAAACAACAACAAAAAAACAGGGGTGTCAAACTGCCAGCCCATGGGCCGGTTGCATCATGCAGAGGCCATGCCCACCCCAGCTCCAGCAATGCGGAAAAAATTGTGATACATCGTGACACATCACGTGATGTGGCAAGTTTGACACCGTACCCTAGACCATTTCAGACAAGTGAATGTTCAGTCTCTTCTTAAGCACTTAAGTCATTAAGCACTTGAAGGCAAGCTGTTCCACTGGTTAATTGTCCTAACTGTTAGAAAGTTTCTCCTTAATTTCAGGATTGCTTCTTTCCTTGATTAGCTTTCATCTATTTGTCTTGCCTTCTGGTGCTTTGGGAAATAGGTTAACCCCCCTCTCTTCTTTGTGGCAGCCCCTTAAATACTGGAATACTGCAGTATTCCAGGTGTAGTCTTACTAAGTTTTTATAAAGTGGTACAAATACTTCATGTCAGGGCCCACTTCAAAACCTCGTCCTAAGAAAGCAGAACTCGTGGAAGCAGTTTCTTCCAAAAGGAACTTTTATTAGGAGAAACTGTCAACAGGCATAATAGACAGGTTTCCTGCTCAAATCAATAGGTTAAAAATGTCCCAAGCAAACTCCACCCCAATAGTTCATTCGGTCAGTTCAAATGGGTCAATCCCCAGGTCTTACGTCCGTTGTAGGAAAGAGCTGATAACGGCAGTGTAAGGACCGTTTCATGTCCTCTCTGAGAAGACGATTTGAAGACCCCCTGGCTGATCTCAAAGCCCGCGAAAGGATAAAAACAATGAGGCAAGGCAAACGCCCAGTGGCTGAATATACACAAGAATTCTGAACTGGCCAGAAGACATCCTCCTTGGCCATTTCAAAGACAGACTAAATTATGACCTCTATGACGCTTGCCTGCCCCAAGGGGACCCACACCAACTTGAGGAATGGTACATCTTGGCA